ATTATTTCTCGGTTAGAGCAGGATGAATATTCTTTTATTGAAGGAAATAATGTTGCTTTTTGCAAATACACATCACCGTATCAACGCTACTATTTTGTTACGTTTTGTTCCAAAAATGTTGCATGTCTCTGGGGAGTTGCTTAATTGTTATGTCTTATGGAGTTGTATGGTTTGATTGTGTTTCATATAATTCTCAGTTTACTCCATGAACTTGCCAAGATTAAGAAACGGCAAAAGAGTTTGGGTGATCTTAACAAGATTTCAGAACGTTGCAGAAGTTAGAAGAGCTTCACAATTCCGTTGTGACAGCATGCCCTAATTCAGAACTACGAACGATCCAATGACGATCCTTCGCGATGCAGTGGTCTCATGAAATAAGGAAACGTATTCGTGCTAGGAACATACGCGAATTTCGGACGAATGAATCTTGCTTGTATTTTGTAGATATAATAATACTTTGTTTCATAATAAACAATTTGTCAAGTGTCATTTATTTACTAGTAATAGTGCATGTTTCAGTCGGGCAAATCTTGATTAATATTTGATACGCCGATTTTTGCATATTTCAGACACATCCAGAAATATCCTCCCGAATTTAAAGATTAATATCTCCGTGAATTTTTAAGTGAAATACAGCTGTAATATATCAAAGTCTAAGTTAGTCCTTCCTCTATTTGATGCAAGTTATTTCTCTTTAAAAGCTATACTTGTTTAGATGTTATTACGAATCAAACAGGAGTACTTTTTTTTTGGCCACCCGGTATATATATATATATATATATATATATATATATATATATATATATATATATATATATATATATATATATATATATATATATATATATATATATATGTATATTCTTTCACTTTTGACTTTATACGTTCGCTAATACAAACGGCATTCCACAACTTTAACAATCATGCAGTAAGGTTGCTTTCTGCTTTCTGAGAATAATCTACATGTTTGTAATGAATAATCTACATGTTCGGGCTGCTTATTTTGAATATTTTTAAATACGCAAAGCAGTATGACAAACCCGAAAGTTTAAAAACGTCACAAAATATAAAACCGGTTTTGCAAGTTCTCTAACGGCAACGTCAGCACGGAGGAAAGGTTTGTATCGCGTGCCACCAGAGGTTCTCTTCGCCTCGCGTATAAAAAAATAATACAAGCGGGAATAAGGCGAAAGATACGAGAACCTCTGGCAACCAGGGTATTGTGGCATCGATATATAACTTTCGTGCAAGAATTTCATACATATTTTAATTGTTGGCAATTACCTGCAGGGCTATAGAAATGGAGCCGTTCTGGTGGTCCTGTTGTCTTTTTTAAAGTCGACGGGGTTTCAATATCAATCACTTAATTGGCTGAGTCATCATTATAATTTTAACCGTTTATAATTTGTTATAATCTTTCGAATTTATTTTTCAACAAACCCCCCTGCTAGACACTGTCTTTTAAATTATTAGGACAATGTTTATTTTGAAATTCAAATTTAATTGCAATTCACGAAATTTTATTGGTCAGAGAATGTGTGGATTACAGAAATGGTTGCTTTAAAATTAGGCCGCACGTGAAACAAATGTTAATTATTCTGAGTTGAGTCAACGAGCGAGCTGTTTGTGTAAAATAAGCGACAATCGTAATGGACGTCTTTTCAAATTTGCTATACCTCCTCGTAATAGGAGTACTTGTATTGCCCAGTGAAGGAATAGGGATTCCTGCAACTACAAGCGAAAATCCTGCAACTACAAGCGAAAATCCTGCAACTACAAGCGAAAGTCCTTCAACAGGAAATCCAACAACCGAACCACCTGTTGTGCCAGGTCCAGGTAAGTTAATTTTGTGTTACTCTATTTGAAGTGACAAAATGTCTTTAAGATAATGTTTGCATGAGATCGATTGAATGACGAATTGTACACAAACCCGCAATAGATGTCAGATATAACTACTGGCATACAACTGATTAGTTTCAAATGATTAACAGGCGACAGAGAGGGTTCACGCTGTTTACACTCTCTTGTCATGCAGTGGCAATGGTGCAAGTGGTACTGGTTATTGTAGTTGCATGTGTAAGGATTAATTGCATTGGCGATCTTAAGCAGTGTTTTTAAAAAAAAATGTAATTGAAGATGTGTTCTTAATCATCCGGTTATGCTTGTGTATTGTACTTATATTCTTTCATGTGGATAAGCAAGCGCATTCTATCATTTCACGTCCAATAAGCTAAACCGCAATATTACGTTGTTCAAATAAAGTTAGGCGTCCGCACAAAGTTTGTTAGTTAGTTAGTTTGTTTGGTATCATACACATTGGTATTTATTCAGAAAGTGCTGTTTTGCCCATGCTCCTGAACAACACAATGTAGTACTATTATGTTTGTTGTTTTGTATAAATTCCCTAAATGCGGCTAAGAAACGCAACTGTTGCTAGTTCACAGGCGCCAAATGATATCGTATCCTGAATAGTCTAATGAGGGTCGCATGGCTAAGATTTATTGTGTATTTGGTGAAAGCATAACTAAAAAGATTCATATTTTTGCGTTGGCACAGCCAACTGGAATGACGCAATTGCAATTATGACAATTTCAAAAATTTTGTTCCGTTTCACGTTTGAGGCTTATCAATATGAACAGTCGTGGGCATAAGGGAAGCCTCACATATCGATTTCGTCCATGAGAAACGTCATATGTTCGTTTCTCTGAAGAACACCCCCCCCCCCCCCCAACCCCTTAGAAACGTCACACATAGTTATCGATATTTTGTTCAATATAGTACACATAAAGTAATTTTCTACTATTTTATACGGTCGTCTATTGGCGACGCTTCCGCGAGGAATATGTCATCTTCTGCTGACATATCTTTTTTCTATTAATATATATTAATATATATGAACTTTAAAATTTCCAACGTTTCTCAAAACAACTTTTTTTGCATGATATATAAAATATTGATAATTTTAGCGAGGTTTCCTTGAAATTTGAGTGTTTTCAATGCAAGGAAGGCGTGATAATATAAATGTATACGTGTAGAACAGGTATGGTATTACGAATGTAGGCCTGTAAACTGGTGTTTGTATCAAGTTGTTTTCTTTTTATACTCTGCAAAGATGATTTCGAAATGTTAAGGCTTTCGAAAAAACGTACTATCGAATTTTTCCATGATATTTACAGATAAGCGTCACAGCTGCAATCCCCCACCCCCACCCCCAAACGAACATATGACGTTTCTCGTGGAAAAAATCGATATGCGAGGCTTCCCTAAGCAAAAATTCAAGGATTTCTATATTCCGTTTTACGATGTATAACAATGTTAAAATCGGGATCTAGTTTGCTTATCCAACAGTCGCATGCAGTTGTGGCTATATATCTCGTTCGCTGGGAAGAATGTGAAAACTTCAGTTGATCAAATTTGTGGAAACATTGTACATATGTATATCTTGCAGCACAATTGTCGTGAGTACTGTGGCAAAACAATCTTCAATTAGGCCACAGAGGCAGAGGGTTTTGAAAGAACATATTTTATTAGAAAATTTGAGCGTGCTGTGACAAAAATGACAAATACACGCCCGCAGAAGAGCTACAGAAATCAACTTTTTGGCATTGCCATTGGTATAATTAATCAGTTAATGGCTATGTTTCATATTTTGTCACATTATCGCCTTTTAAGTGCTAGGATACTCCTGAAACAGTTGAAGTCGATGTCGTGACAAGCGAATTCGGTATATTGTCTGCCTGGGGTGTTATAGCAATAGCGCTTTAGAAAGCGGGCCGTTTGGCATTTGCATGAAGCAGTCAATCGTTGTGCTCGATAGAAATGACAAAGGCTTTTGTTGATGGACGTTTCGAGCAAAAATCGCATTCATATTTTGGAAGGTCAACAAAAGAACATTTTGTATGAAAAGATTTGAGCGTGCTGTGACAAAAATGATTGTCAAATACATGGCAGCAGAGATGTAGAAACCGACTTTTGGCATTGCCATTTGCACTAATCAGTTAATTGCTGTGGCTCAGATTAATTTGTTCGACCAAAATAATCAAAGTAAAATTTTTGTCCTTGTATGGCGCTCTTGGTATTTAAAGGATAACTAAGGGGCCAATTACATGGAGCATTTTCAACCCCGGGGTTGAACTCGGCCCTGTTTACCGGGTTGAAATTTCAGCCCTGTCTGTAATACAAAACTCTATCAAAATCAAACGCGCGATTACATGACAAAATTTTCAACCCAGGGCTGAGTTCAACACCGGGGTTGAAATTTCAACCCTGCTTCAGCTAAAAGGCTGAAATTATGTATAGGTTATTCGAGCATACGTGGTAGTGATTATTTATTACAAGAAAACAAAATAAAGGCTTTTTTACTTCCGGGAATCGATGCCGAGAACGTATAGTATAGCGCTCGGTATATAGCGTTTCAACCCCGGGGTTGAAATCGTCCATGTAATCGCAAAAGATTTCAACCCGGTTAATAGGGCTGAGTTCAACCCCGGGGTTGAAAGTTCTCCATGTAATCGGCCCCTAAGAGTGTGTTTTCATAATTTAATTAAAGGTTGGGTTGTTCTAAAGTGTGATTTTTCAGCTATACCTGATATCAAGCAAGTTTATTTCAATAGACAACAAACTCTAATTCGAATGTTGGCTTATTTTGCTAGTCATTTTGAGCACGCGCAATAATTTTCCATTAGTTAAGACACAGAGTAAATATACTACACATAGGTGGAACTCAGCCAAAAAAGAGTAACCGGCCGCCAAAAGCTTAGC